TCTAAATTGTCATTAGGTCATAGACATTTTCTTTATGTATATGGCAAAGGTTAATATGTAAGGGCTCTCTTGCGGAATATCAGGTGAAAATATTGTCAACTGCTGAAGTTAGTCGACATTCTTCTTGCTCCATTTGTCTCATCCTATCCCATTAATCTCTTAACTTAGTTCTTCTTTCCAACTGTTTTGTAAATCCACTTACCAATGTAGGACAACCAGTACCTAAAATAGGGTTTATTATGTATCAGAAACTTTATAAATATTAGTTACTTGAATGAATGAATGAGTACTTTGTTCAGTTGTAATTATTAGTTTCATACGTCAACTCGACTGGGCCACAGTGTGCCCAGATAAAACATTATATCTGGGTCTAACTGTAAGGAAGTTTCTCGATGAGATCAGCATTTGAGTCAGGGGACTCAGTAAAGTAGATTGTACTCACCAGTATGGGTGGACACCATCCAACATCCAATCTTTTAGGGGACTGAATAGAACAAAAGGTGGAGGAAGGAGGAATTTGCCCATCCCTGTCCCCCTTTTTTTCTGTGTAACTGCTTAACTTGGGAGAGTTCATCTCATCTTTTCCTGCCTTTGAACTGGAATTTACACCACTGACTTCTCTGGTTCTCAGGCCTTCAGACTTAGGCTGAATTCCACCATTGGCTTTCTGAGATCTCCAGCTTGCAGATGGCAGATTGTGGGACTTCTCAGTCTCCATTTTCACATGAACCAATTCTTCATAATAAAATTCCTTTTTATGTCTTACACATCTCCTTTTGTATGTAAATAAAATAAATCTCCATTTACACATATAAATTATGTATAGATATAGCTGCTATTGGTTCTAGTTCTCTGGAGAACCCTGACTTATGCTAGCATTCTCTTTATTATTGCTCCTTTCCTTAACCATTTTTGGTCCCTTGATTTCTGTAACCTTAGGTAGGACTGCCTTAAGTCAGTAGCATTCTCTTATCATTAAGGTTGCCTAAATAATGCCTGCGGCTTCTATTGACAAGTTTAGGATTAGGGGTGATTCTTAACTAAAGCTATTTGGCCCCCCAAGAGGACATTTGGCAATGTCTGGAGACATTTTTGTTTGGAGGAGGTGTTACTGGCCACTACAGAATAAAGATCAAGGATGCTGCTAAATGTTTTATCATGTACAGAATAGCCTTAAAAAATTGTCAGGCCCCAAAAGTGAATTGTGTTCAGGTTGAGAAACTCCGGTTTAGAGTATGGAAAAAGAAGGAAAAAAAAGAACTTTGGGAGGCTGAGGCAGGAGATTGCTTGAGATCAGGAGTTTGAAACCAGTCTGGGTAACAAAGGGAGACCTTGTCTCTACAAAAAATTAGCCTGGCGTGGTGGCATATTCTTGTGGTCTCAGCTACTTGGGAGGCTGAGGCAGGAGGGTCTCTTAGGCCCAGGAGATCAAGACTGTGGTGAGCCATGATCTTGCCACTGCATTCCAACCTGAGCAACAGAACAAATTCTATCAAAAAAAGAGAATTGAATGCAAAAGGATGGAAGGAATAAAGATGATATCCAGCAGGGGTAAACAAACTTTCTGTAATGGGCCAGATGGTGAATATTTTAGCCCTTGTGGGCCATCAAATTTCTATTGCAATTACTCAGCACTGCTTTTGTAGCAGGAAAAGCAGCCATAATCAATACATAAATGAATGTTTATGGTGTGTTCCAATAAAACTTTATTTAAGGATGTTGACATTTATTTAAATTTTATATAATTTTTTTTTTTTTTTTTTTTTTTAAACAGAGTTTCACTCTTGTTGCCAAGGCTGGAATGTAATGACGTGATCTTGGCTCACTGCAATCTCCACCTCCCAGGTTCAAGTGATTCTCCTGCCTTAGCCTCCCAAGTAGCTGGGATTACAGGCATGAACCACCACACCTGGCTAATTTTATATTTTTTGTAGAGACGGTGTTTCTCCATGTTAGTCAGGCTGGTCTCGAACTCCTGACCTCAGGTTATCCACCCACCTCAGCCTCCCAAAGTGCTGGGATTACAGGCGGGAGCCACCATGCCCAGCCAAATTTTATATAATTTTTACATCATGAACTATTATTCTCCTTTTGATTTTTTAAAACTACCTAAAAATGTAAAACGATGTTTAGCTTTCTGGCCTTACAAAAACAGGCAGGCAAAAGTTTGCTAAACCCTGAAACAGAGGGAGGAGAAGGAGAAAGAACAGGAAATAAATGACTATGGCAAAGGAGTATATTAGTTTGATGTTTATATGAGGCTAGATTATGCTGAAGTAACAAACAATCTCAAAGTCTCAGTGATTTAAATAACAAAGGAGTATTTCTCATTCACAGTACATGTGTACTCTATGCTGGCTAAGTTCTATTCCATATTGTTTTCATCTTGGAATTCAGGCTCATAATGCAGCCTCTATCTGGGATACTGCTGCATCTAGGAACAGAAGAAACACAAACATGGCAAACCAAGTGCTGGTTCTGAACATTTCTGCCTGAAATTGGCATACATAATTTTCGCTCTGTCTCACTGGCCAAAGCAAGTCACATACCATGTGACTTGCTTTGGGGTAGAATACAATGGGGTAGAATATAGAATCTTCTTTTAGAGACAATTACTATTTATGAACTGTAACACAGGCTAACACATTGCCTAACCTTAATGCCTTCAGTTGCTTAGGTTTGGCTATTCCTGAACCAAAGTTTATTTTATTCTTCAAACTATTGTCTTAAATAGGGACTGGGAGATATAACAGTAACAATAATAAGAGCTCATGTTTATTGAGTGATTGTTATTTCCTATACATATGTCCTTTACATGCATTTTTGTATTTAATCTTCACAACCACAATTGAGGTGGCTGCTATTTTGATCCTGACTTTATAGATGAAACAGCAATGGAGAGGTTAAAGGCACTCAACTACCAGGTAGTTGATATTCAAACCCAGGTCACTCTGATTTCAAAAGCATATTTTTTACTCTAATACAGATTAAATATGGATTAGACTGATAAACTGCCTGGGTTCAAATATGGGCTAGTGCCAGATACAACTTTTATAGCCTCGTGCAAGTTCTGTAACTTCTCCATCTCAGTTTCTCCACTCTAAAATAAGAACAATAACAATATCTACTTTATAGAGGTTTTGTAAAAACTAAACATAAAAATTAATATATGTGGAGTGCTAGTGTTTATAACAATACTTGGCAAAAAAAAAAAGTTTGATGATGATGATTAGCTAGCCATGTTTTAGAAAGCTCCACTGGTAATTTCAATCTCCTCCTTTCTATTCCCTTCTCATCCTCCAATCCCCTTTCAGAATTACTGTTCTAGATTTTTGCCCGTACTCTGTATTTTCTATTTTTGAACTAACACTTCACCAACTTGGAGGGTAAACCATGGGAGTACCATTGCCTTCAACTCAAGTATACATCTCATCCCTGCTTCCCAAACCTTTCTTGCCCATCAGTTTTGCATCTATGTTTTATTATTTAAACTCCTAATGTATAATTATGTGGGTACATAGCAATGATCTAGAATATAGGAGTAGGCTGTCTAGAGGGGAGTCAGTGATACTGGCCTTGGTTTTTGCTACATAGCCTCACTTCCCATATTTTCCCATTAAGTCTTGAAATTAGATGGTTAAATTTTTTTCAGTTAAAATTAATTCTTTAAATTTACTGTGGCTTCATTTTGAAAACATCACATTAAATTTTTTGTCCCCTGTGAATACTGCACTAGACCAAGCAAGCAAAGTAGTAAACTATGCTAGGCATAGATCCATCTATTAGGCATCAGCCTTTTAAAAAATAGATATTGTTTGAGAAGGACCTGCTGGTCTAGTGGACTTATTATGAGAAAGTATAGATCGCTTTTTGCATGTGGAGTGACAAGAACTAAATGATTTGTCTTCAGTTTTAATGCTTAAAATAGAATAAAACAGAACAACAAAAGGCAAAGGCATGAAATAGAATGTCTTGTAAGCAAGTTGAAATCTGTTTTATATACCACCCCCTTAAACTAATATTTTTCTTTTAAAATGTCTTTGTTTCATAAAACAGAAGGATAAACCATCTGACTTCATTTAATATGTCCACTTGAAACAGTATATAGACTTCAAGTGCTAGTTCTGATTGTGGTCAGAATTTGAAGTTAAGTCTCAAGAGGATAGTGAGGTTTTCTGATAAGTTATGATGTTAATATCTTTTTGCTTCTAAAATAATTTAAAATAATATTTATTTTTTTTTGGTCTGGAAATTTCTTTTATATCTGCCACCTGCCACCCAGTCTACATTTGAATTTATTGGCTGTATGGATTTAGAAGTGATAATTATGAAACAGCAATAGGAAAGTTTATAAAGTTTCAGAGTACATGATTAGGACACATTACTGTATAAATAAAGTTAAAACTAAGATTTTGTTTCCATATGCTTTGATTCTTATCAAGCTGATTCTAAATTACCTTACATTTTTGAAAGTTCCAAATAAATTTAGATTTTCTAGATACAGCAGATTGAAACATGGTAATTTACTATATTTTCTGCCTATTGGACTTACATTATGGATCTATGAGGTATCATGTGCCATATTAAACATATTCTTGCTACCAGCTTCTATGAAATTGATGTATTTGATCAAGTCATGCATATAAATTTGATCAGTGCCATTCTGTATGGATTAGGATCTAAGGGTTTATACATAAAATTGATCTATAAGGAGACACATGCTCAGATATGCAGAGTCATGCTGGGGATGCCCACAGGTCTCCCCATTTTCACACTTAGAATGCTAGGTGAGGTCAAAGCTAAATTCTAATTCCATTTAGTTTTAAGAAATAATCTGCCTTCTCTCTTTCCTGAACAGTTTCCAATTATTTAGCTTTTTTCCTCTAAAATCCATGGAGCAGAGTTAAGCACTATATACCCTCTAATTTCATAGCATATTTGAAGGAGCTTTGTAAGGAATGGAGCAAGATAAAAGAGTACCAGGCATGAAAAATGCCAGATTCTTGAATCATATTTGTAATGTGTTCAATTATTTGGGGAACACTGCAGTCATTTTTATTCAAGAGTAAAGTGACACTGGAAAACAATACTTTTTCAAGGTAATCATTTAGATTTATTTTTAAAAGGAGAGGAGAGTTCTCTTGTTGATTTTATAAGAGCAAAGGCAACAGTCAGCCTTGCTTTTGGCTAATTCATGTGCTCCTCAAGTAAAACTTAAGCCCAGGTTATGTTGGTAGGATTTAAAGTAGTAAGACATATGTGAATAAAACGATATTAGGTCTTTGTAATTCTGAATAATAAAATAAAGATTAAGATGGTAATATTGGTCCCTCAAGTACTGGTATTTAAACTTTAAAAATCAATCAAGAGAGAAGATTAAGTGGTGTTTCTTTGGTACTAAAAATGTAAAGCTAAGACCAAATTGTTCTACTTCACAGATTTAAGATACAAAGAATGATATTTAAAGATATTAAAATGACTATTAAATTATCTTCAGTTTGTAAAGAAATCTCCTATGAAGTACACTTAGAAGAAATCCCTGAGTATATTAAATACTCTATTAGTATCTTTCTTCATAAACAAAGAGGAACAATTTAAAGGCTTTGCAAGACATATAAACACAGTGCTTAGTAAAAGCAATATCTGTTTATAAGGCTTCCTCCATCATGCTTGTAAGAGAAACAACAGATTCACAAAATTAAACTGTAACATTTGAACACATTAACTATTTGCAATTGAATCAAAAAACCAGTCTCTTATGGTGTTTCTATGTTGTTTTAGCCACTCGATGTTGTTTTTCACTGTTTCCAGCACTTGCTCCCTAGGTTTTTCTCCTGCTCCAGCTTGTGGATATTTTGCAAAAAAGCTCTCCATCTAAAAAAGAGAAGGGAGTAATTAAAATTATCATTTACAGCCAAATGAGTCTTCAAGAATTTCATTCACAAACTGGATTTGCTTCCTTCTTACCTAGAAATTCAGTATCACTGCATAACATCGAGCTACACCTCTTGGCACCCATCTCTCAGATTAGCAATTGTTACCTACAGCTTTTTGGAACCCCTCAGCATGTCAAGCCAAAATAGGCTCTGACATTTTAGGGAAGGATGGCAGCATGTCAATGCTAGCATGCCCTTTTCTGTTTCTGCTGCATTCTCTGTTTTCCATGGATACCCCAAGGTGTTCCCTGGAAAATCTGACCTATGAAGTGACGGTTTTGCTTAGCCTTTCACTCCAGGAGTCTGTAATGGACTTTCAGTTCACTTATTAAGAATTCATTTAAAAAAGAAAAAAAAAAAAAAAGCCTTTGTTAAAATTAGTGCTGTCCCACCTCTGACCTCCAAAACCCTACCCCAAACTCAGCATACTAGAATTATTTTCTATAAAATTAGAATAATTTGGTTTTTTTTAACATACAGAAAACTCTTAGCATTTCAATATCTAACATGCAGATATCAAAACTTCACACAATCTCTAACTTGTTCAACATTGATAGACATTTTTCCTCCTTTGGACTTGAGATATTTGAAACCTGACAGATTTGGGATTAGTTTTGAAATTGCAAAACTATGAATTGTGAATGGAATCAAATCTTGACCAACTTGTTCCAGAGTTACGTTTACAGGAAAGGCGCAACCTTCTGCCCATGCTTTTGTGAACTAAACTGTCTAGTGTGGCCTTCTCAATGTCCCGGCCTCAACTTTCTCAGCTTTCAAACTTTCTTAGAGGTCCTTTGAATTGTTTTGCATTTAGAAAAAAAAAATAGGTGTATATTTTACTAGAAACAAGAATTATTTCTCAATTTGCTATGTATACTTACCAAGATAAATAAAAACATGTTTTATACCTTAATATATACAATTTAAAAACACAAAACCAAAAATAATTCTTTCTTCCTCATTGTCTTCCATGATTTGAATTGAGAAAATATCATTTCTGTTTGGAAAAATAGTTTCATTCTATCCCATTACTGGATATATACCCAAAGGACTATAAATTATTCTACTATAAAGACATATGCAAATGTATGTTTATTGCAGCACTATTTACTATTTACAATAGCAAAGATGCCCATCAATGATAGACTGGATAAAGAAAATGTGGCACACATACACCATGGAATACTATGCAGCTGTAAGAAAGAATGAGTTCATGTCCTTTGCAGGGACATGGATGAAGCTGGAACCCATCATCCTCAGCAAATTTACACAGGAACAGAAAACCTAACACCACATGTTCTCACTCATAAGTGGGAGTTAAACAATGAGAACACATGGACGCAGGGAGGTGAACAACACACACTGGGGCTTGTCCAGGGGTAAGGGGGTAAAGGGGAGGGAGAGCATTAGGACAAATACCTAATGCATACAGGACTTAAAACCTAGATGACGGGTTGATAGGTGCAGCAAACCACCATGGCATATGTATACCTATGTAACAAACCTGCATGTTCTGCACATGTATCCCGGAACTTAAAGTAAAATTTGAAAAAAAAAAAACAAGTTTTATTCTGTTCCTTCTTGGACAAATGCAGAGGAATTTTGGACAAATGCAGAGGAATTTATCTTTATACCTGCCACAGTTGCATTTCAGTGTTGAATGGCTCTGCTATTGTGACAATTCGGCCAAGGTTTCGGTCATTGAGTGTATATCTGGAGAGAAATTTAGAGTAAAAGGAAGTGTAAGTGCTCAGAATGTTACATATTTTCTCTAAATTCAGATGTTACCTTTTTATTTCATAGTTTTTAAAAGTAATTTTCAAAGTACGGAAAACACAGTAAGAAAACCCATTTTACTTAAAATCATTCTATTCATGATAAATTCTTAGTAAATTCTGCACTTCTTTTTGTAGACAAATTGACACAACTTTCTCAAATGTGGAATACTGCTTGTTGTAGTCCCCAAATCTGTTCTTTTTGTGCACATATGAGCACCCAGCTAGAGACTGTGTTTCTTAGGCTCTCTCATAGCTAGGTGTCCACAGGTAACCCAATTCTTACCAACAGGACATAGCACAATGTTCAACTGCAGCCTCCTTCCTTAAATAAAGGAAAATTGCTTGCCTAAACTTGTTGGATTTTTACTCCTGTTCCCCCAAGCTAGAACATGGACATACCAATGATTTGGCTTCAGCCATGCAAATAGGATACTGGCCTGTCCCCACAAAGCAGAACCACACTAACAATTTGCACCACTCACTTCAGGAATCTAACTGTAGTGAAAAGTAATTGCCCACACAAGTCCTTACAGTAGCTGCCTTTCTATGTTTCCGTTACAGCAGAACACCTCTAGTATCATTATCCTAATGCTCTATTCATCTTCCTACTGGTACAGAAATTTAAATATAGGCTATTTATTCTTTTTTCAAAAAGTTTTATTAGTAGCTGGCATGTGGGGGTTATGACCTATATCAAGCTGCCTAAGCAAAGATCAGTTTCACAATAAGAAAATAGGAATTAAAAAAAGCAAATCACACTGAGTTGCTTCAATGAGATTCTATAGATTCAAAGAAAGTCTGCTAATTGCAGCTAATAAAACAATGTTTTTCAGTGACATAATTTCTGTAATTTTTCTTTCTGTTTTGTTGAAAGGACATCTTTAAAAACTAGCAGTGAAATATACTGAATGAAAACTGCAACTACTTGTTTAAATACCAGAAATGCCAAAACAAATTATGTACATCCCAGGAAACCGGTATCATGTAAAGTATAGAAAATAAGGGAAAATATACTGTATGTTTATTATATTGGTCATTTTTAAAAACTAAAATAAGGATTTGCTATATTTTAAATTATTTGAAAAAATTATATAAACATTGTCCTCTTGGATTTAATATTTATACAAGTATTATTGCGTTATCCAAAAGAAATAATTTTGATACACACAAAACTTTTTAAGTGCTTATTAAATTGTTTATGATGTAGTATTTGAAGGGTTTCAATTATGTCCTATTGACTTAACTTTTCATTTACCATCATGAACTAAAATCACACCACATTATTGATTTATTGGGTCAACTCAAATTCATGGTTTCATCTACGTGTTTATTGGAAGAAACAAAAGCAAAGAATAATTTCTGAAGTATCTTTGGAACTTTGTGGTTAAGTTTCAAATTGGCAAAGACATTAGTAGTGTGGCCATCAGTTGTCATAAAAATAACATGAGAAAAGTTTTATTTATTTAAATAGAAGCTTATTTATTTTAGGATGACAATAAATTATTCAGAAATGGAGATCATAAAACTACACATCCTGAAATTTGGAAAATGTTCAAGTGTTTGGAAATATTTGGATAAAGTTTGGCTCATTTTTGTTTCATTTTTTAAATATATTTTTTATAGAGAAATTCTGTTTATTCAAGCCAAGTATGATTAATATTGGCTGTTTGTGTGTGTTAGCCATGTGGTTATTATGTAATTTCATGTTTGGGGCCATTTGAAATAATATGAGAAATAGTTTATTAGACTATGAAGAAATACCAAAAGCCTTGGGCAAGAGTTTTGGAGTACTTCTGGAAATAGTTTATCTTTATTTTTTCCCTTGAAAAATAATCAGTTTATCAGATGTAATACATTTATTTTAAGGCCAGATGTATATGACCTTTATGACAAAGTAAAAACTATTTTTTTCTACTTAATTTTCTTGAAGTGTAACAACTAATTTTTAAAAATGAAAAAATCATTTTTTTTGAAATAAATCACAGCAGAGCTATTCAAATAAGCCTTAAGAAATATTTATTTAATAAACAATAAGTGAATGACCATTTTACTATGCAAAATAAAATATTATTTACTTATCTTTTCATAATAACTCAAAAGTAACTTTTGTGCTTTATCTATATAGGTTTCTTGCACCATACACCATAGAAAAGAGATAGTTTTATGATCTTTTCAATTAAAATAAAACATGCAGTAGGTATCACTAGCCATATTTCTTTCAAAATGGAGGGTATTAATTTGCATGATATAAATTGTTACATCTAGATAATAACATTTTTAATAGGTAGATTCATTCATTCTAAATTAAGCATTTCATTTAAACAATCATAAAAGATGAACAATGCATATGTGTGCATGCACACACACACACACACACACACACACACTCACATGCACACCAACCAACCTTCATAGAGATGGAATAGCAGTGACACTCAATAGTTACAAGAATAGAAAAGGTAAAAATTTATCACAAAGAGACAGAAGCAATGTAGTGTATTTTGGTTGGGAGTTAGAGATAGAATCTGGATCTCAAGAAAAAAAGAAATGTAAATGGACATAATAGCACTCTGGTAAGATGTAGGGTAGAAAAGAGAAAATAATTAGAAGTTATCATTGTAGTTGGTATTTCTCATAAGGCAGTCATTATCAATGAGGCAGAGCCGCTGGACTGACAGGAGAGATTAAGAGGAGATAACAGAGGCTATTTCCTAATGTAGGGATTACAGATGGCAAAGGTCTTTTCATCAATGTTTATATGTTTATTCGGGACATACATTTATTCTGTATTCTATTTTATACTCTTCCAAAGAACTGCCTTTGGATGGAAATTGAGCATTATATTTAGAAGATCATAACCAAGAGCAGCAATATTTCTTCTGCACAGGGCTGAAGAAATATGAAGTTTGGAAAAGCATCTCTTTCACTGATTTTGCTCTTCTCTTGCCCTTGCTATTTCCCATTTTTAAACTGCTGTTTGCCTACAAAATGTAATCCCCTTTTAAGAACCATTCAAAATACCTGAAGTTTCATTATCTGGTTAGGATAGGTGATAGTTATCACCCGTATAAGCCCAGTATGATATAGAACTCTAATTGGAACCCAGGTCCAATAATTTTTACCTAGTTTTCATCAAATATTAATTGAGAACTAAATATGTGCCTGGCATTATGCTAGGTACCAGCACAACAGGCAGAATTATATTAACTTGTTTTAACCAAACTAAAAATGATGCAATTTAGTGTTCCAAATCTCAGAATCCTATAGGTCAATTGAAACAGTAATTTCCAGGGGAAAAAAAAATTGTTCTTAAAATTAACTAGTACATTGCTTCCCTGGAAGGACAATACCATGAACCTTTACCTCTAATAATATACTATTTTAGATACTGTATACATGTCGGAGATGGTGGCCCAAAGAAAAATGAAGGAATCTGTAGATAGTATGAAACAAAGAGAAGAGCAGGCCATTATCTGATCATCCCACCTGTCAACTAGATAGTCCCAGTTGAGTTGTATCCAATTCCAGGCCATGTTCTTCCCATAGCTGTTATATGAGATATATCGAATGACTGTAAACACATCCTGAGTTTTAATAAGGTTTGTGTCCTTGAGCAAATCCAAATACCTAAGAGAAGCCAAACAGAAAAACAATTCAACATGAACTTTTAATGTTCACCCTTAGCTAAATTCCAATGTAAAATAGTTTTCAAGCCAGCAATTTAATTCTTGAGGTATCAACTGATAAAGTGAATTAAATATGACAAATGATGAAAGACAACTTAAACATTTCTGATATGTTTAACTGTTGTTAAAGAGCAACCTACGATTTTAAGGACCAGTAGAATGTAAACTATAAAAACATTTAAAAATTAAATTATTTTAGAAGTACCAAAACAATTTTAAAACACAGATTTTTAACCATTAATATTTTAAAACAGCATTTATTCAATAGAGTACACGTACCTATTATGCCACTGGATTTTTAAAAAGAAGCCAGTAAATTAAGAGAATGTATTTATGCTCTTATATTCTATAGGAAAGCAGTTAAAACTTGTTTGTTCTTCCCTAAATTGTAAGAAACAATCCTCTAATGTAGCCTATATGGTTATATTAGTTGGCAATAATTAAGAACACAAATAAGTACAAGATAAATTAAATGACTAAATGGATAGGTTTAATTTTATACCATGGCTATACCTAGAGTAGCATTTCTAGCCCAAGACCTTTTAAGTGTATATTGTATTGAAAAAGTGTTTCCACATAAGGTCAGCACATATTTTATTCACTGTGAAAAGGGAACCTCAAAACTGGATGTCTACCACTGATAGATTAGATATAGTTTCATGTTACTCAAGTCTTGCTGCCTCATGGCATCCTACCCATTGGCTCAATTAATGTATATCATTAGGAGACTATGAGAAATAACTACAACAAAGGAATCACTCTTCAACTTGAGTTGTGAGCCTTTGAGAATCAGGCTTTGTCAAAGAGAAAAGGTATTTCTAAATTATGTATGCTTTTATTAATATATCAAGACCCCTAGCATACTTGACACAGAAATTTACCCTAAATGGGACTGGAGAAAACTCAAGTTTAAACAAAGTCCATGCCACATGGGAAATTGGAAAACACAACCCCTTAAGAACAGGTCTATAGTTCAGCATGTACTTTTGTGCTATGACAAAATGGCATGGAAGCGTGATAGTACATCGTAGGCAAGATAAGGTGAATATACGAATGGGTTTAAGGTAATTATCCTGGTTCCTTTGACTTGTGGATCCTGTTTAGGGGGACCTATCAGCTTCTTCACTCAGCAGTAAGAGGTAGGGATGTTGGAAGGCCTGATGGGAAAACAAAAATACCATACATACAGCCCAGGTACTTCATGAACAGAAGCAAGGGATTGGGACCACAGCTTTCATCTCTGGATGACAGATAGTGCTCCAGAAGGTAAAATGTGATCAGTGAAAACTCAGTGGACTCCGGCCCAGACCAAAATATGTAAACACCTTAAGGCAAAAGCAGCAAAAACCAGAGGTCTCTTTGTCTGTCACCACAAAGGTGGCATGTCTCCCTATGCAGAAGGAACATGGAGAAGGGAAGGAACTCTAGAAGAGTGAACATTTACTCCAAGAGACTATTTAAATGACAACTCTAATTTAACAACGTATTTAAAAACTAGACTGGCAGACACAAATAGTCAACATCAGTTGTTCTCCCTCCCACTGGCTCATCACCCGACAGTGTGAGAACTCTTGGGAACAATCAGATAGAAAAGCAAGATCCTACATTTTCTTTGCACTTGCAGTATATGAGTAAATCTACTTATATGAAAATACAACATACCAATCACATGTTTCAAATAAGAAAAGAATTCCAAGGAAGCTCTTACTGCAGCCTGAACTTGCTGCAGAATCTTTTTCACTCTGGTCATTATTCGAAACTGGAAGACTTTGTAAATGGTTAAAGTAACACACTCAAATGTGAGATATGTGGCTTCCAAAATTTTTTAAAAAGCATACCAAGCCCACCAAAATAATCTTTTCCTGTGGCATGTCATTCAAAGTGCAACAACTTTCTTTTACTTTAGAGGGAATATTGTGATACGCTGTAAACTACTGAACTTCCAGAAACTGCACTCAAGTGATGGGATCCTGAATTTTTGTGCAATTTATCTTTCATCCCCTAGTTCACAAGGGTTTACAAAGGCATCTAAAAGTACCTGCTACTTTTCTTACCAGATACAATCAGCAAACTGCCATTAAAGTAATGAATCAGTGTGATGTTTTGTGAAATGTTAAAATGATCAAGTTCTTTTTTTTTTTTTTTTTCAATAGATATGAGGTCTCACTATGTTTCCCAGGTTGGTCTTGAACTCCTCCTGGGCTTAAGAAAACCTCCTGCCTCAGCCTCCCAAAGTGCTGGGATTATAGGCATGAGTCACTGTCCACAGCCAAGATGATCAAGTTCTTGATGAACTGTCATGGCAGAGAGCAGGAGAATTAATATATAGCCCTGAGGTAAGAGGCTGAAGGTACATTATTGGCTGTACCTGGTAAAAGCAAACTGTTTCTGGTTGCCCTTTTAAATTGATATTTCATTGTAATTTACTATTTACATTCTGCCTTTCCCATGAAGCTGTAAGTAACTCAAGGATAGATGTCCTTTTTATTTTTGTTTTATTCATTTTTATTCTCACAATCTATATAACTACACATAGAAAGGACATCATAAGTGTTGGTTAAATACGTGAAGTAAATAACTCAGACACTATAAGAAGCAAAAAATGAATTAAGGAAGAAGCTAGTTGATTTTGAGTATAGATGCAGAGAGGGAAACAAGTCACAGATGAGCTTCAAGTAGTCTTTGTGCCTTCTGAGTGGAGTGTCAATACATTTGTGGCAGACACTCCTCTTTCTCTACTCACAGAGCCCACTTTTGTTCTGATACCATTTGATATTCTTGATCTTAGATAAGGCAGACTTCTACCGCAGTCCCTGATAGCTCTAATTGGCTCAAATCAGCCAAAGGAATTCAAGTTCATGCTAGTCAGCAAATGGTCAAGTAGTAGACCCAGAGTGTGACCCAGAATGATGAAGGGAGATCCCATTCTGGACTATGAGGGGAACTGGAGACAACTATCCTGTTGTCTTGTGAGGAAAGACAGCCTGGTGAGGAAACTCTTTTGTTCCTGTCCTACCTCCATCACACATGTTTGTGAAAAAACAAAATGTTTCAAGGTCTGGAAGTCATGAGACATCCAACATGTCGAGCATGGAAAATCAAAACGAGAAAAGACTGCATCTTGGGTGAAAATGTTGAGCCACTGCACACAACTGGAAGCTACTTATGTCCAGAATGTTTTCATATGAGATTACTTATTGTTTTTTGCTTATTGTTAGGCCAGTCTTACATGGATATTTTGTTTCTTGCAGGGAAAATAGTTTTTAATGGATTTTTTTGGCAACAAAACATCATACTTTAATCAGAGTCTTAAAGAGATTGTGACACGTAAACTATTGAATACCGTTTATATACATGAAACAAAAGCCCAACTTACCTTGACAAGAGAGTAACATTCCTTACTGATGCTAATCCATAGAGCAGTTTTTCTTTTTCTTGAGCTAATGAAGTTTTCTGGTATTGCTCAAGAGTATAGTTCCATGAAGTCTCATTGCCAGAGTTCTGCATCCCATACCGATACACCAGAAGCCTGAGATTTACAGGAATCCTAGAAGAAGAAACAGTGTTTCAGAGATTTCAGCTACTCTTTTCTCAGTTGTGTCTTCTAAACATAACAATATGAGTAATCACCTTTCAGTCCCAGTTAGCCATCGCTCAAATAACAGGGAAGCATTGTCCAAGGCTTCTCTGTCTCCCATCTTGCACGCAAACCCTAACACAGAGGAACGGAGTAACCTTAAAAACAAACAAACACAAATCCAGGGCCTTAAGCACTTTTCAAAAGTCTTAAAACAAAAACAAATATTAAATGAATATTAGTGGCTAAAAGGTGAGAAATAACTTTGTGAGGTGGTCTCCAGTATCATTCCATCCCAGAGAATCTGCAATAGGCTTCACTTGAACTTGGAAGTATTCCTGGAATAAAAGCATTATGTACAATGAGTAATAATTTACTACGTATCAGTAGTATCCCAATTATTATACTCTGCAGCCCCTGTTATAATCTGTTTTCCTACTAGTTCAGAGTACTTTGCGCTTGCCCTTAGAAAAACTGTATTTAGTTCCTATCACATTGCAATTTTGCTTCAATCCTGAAAATATGAACCATCCTAGACCTTCCTGTAATGTTTTATAAAACTTTGGGTAAGGCCCTTTTAACTTCTGTTTCTTTTAACATATGCAATAAATAGGAAAACACTTGATATACTTCCTGCACTAAGAAGATTGTTTAAGTATATATGAAATAATAAAAATAACTGATATTTGTATACTGCTTTGGGTTTTACAAAGGACTTTCATATTATTTGATCCTCACTATGCCATTACCACAGATAGGCGACTGCTGACATTCCTAATATACAAAGGAAATTAAGACTCACAAATATTAAATCATTTGTTCAAGATCTTTCATTTTGTAAACAGAAGAACTAGAGATTTGAATCCAGAATTTGTTTAAAATTACAAGTGTCCTACTTATGTGCTACGGAATCACAAAGCAAAGAAACAGTATTTAGAATCACTACTTAGAATAAAATCTCAATGTGGAAAATACCAGCAGTAAGAATAAGAAGAAATAATGTTATATTTTAAAATAATCATTTCATCATAAAGTCCACTTAAAATAAGATCCAATTAGTATTTATTGTCTAAAATATTGTGTATTTTAAGTAAAATATTAATTGTTGTATTTCTTGTAATACTAAAATGCACCTAAATGGTATGTAAGCAGAACGACAAATTCTACCAAAAAAGGGTAGATGGCGTAGCTTTGCTTTGATTAGTCAAGTCATTGCACTTCCTTTGGATTCCACCTAGCAAGCAAACATGCTCTATGTCCCCAGGAGCTCCTTCTCTCAGAAAGTATCCTATTTTACTAATGCTAAACATTTACTTTCATAAGATACCATAGCATTAACATCACCTCAATCATAGGATATAGCTCTTTATCATCTTCAAACATGCTAATGATGTAGGTTACAGCTGAAATGACTCTCTGCCATGGTAAAAAGTCCTCTTCCCTTCTGAGATACTTGGTCAAGTTCAAAGGCACCTTATAATCTAGAAGTTGGGCTCTGAGAAAGACCAAAACAAACAAACAAACAAACAAACAGAACCACAGTTAATTAAAAACCACAGACTTTAGTTTCCATTTAGCTGAAAGTTTTGGCAATGAAAGCTTTCCATGTTAATGAAGATTCCTCCATTCAACAATCAGGAATTGCATTTATTGTTGAGGCCTAATCAAAAAGGTTTGTCCAACATTATATAGTAGTGCTTTCATACGTTCAAGAGTAAGAAGGAAGAGAGGCATTAAGATGTACATTTGGAAAAGTGCAATACCAAAATTTCAAATAAAACAAAGGCCATTTAGCTGAACGGTTAATATTGACAAATAGAAACTTTAAAATTTTAGGTTCCCAAGCTGATTATAATATATAAATTCACTATTATAAATATATTTTGTTAATATTATTTACATTTGCCTATGACGAAGAAACATGAATAACAGTACTCATGAATCCTGAATGCTTAAAACATTCAAATTGAACTTTTCTTTTCCTTTATAACATGTCATTTAAAAAGTAGATTTTTCTCTTCTAGAAAATTCAAAGATAATATTGACATTCTAAAGGTTAAAGAATCTACTTTCTTCTCCTTTCAAAAGAATTTTAGGGCCTTTGAAATCAGCTCAGCTTTCCCCACTTCCCTGTCCTGTTTCTTCTGTTTTTGTTTTTGTTTTTTTACTCCCTATCTCATGAAATTACTCTCAAGGAACCACTGGTACAAGAACCTCTATTTCTGACCCTGCTTCTAGGGAACTCAAGACTGCTAGCATTCTTACTCAACTTTGGGTTTCAAACTCCATTTGTTAAGTCCCAAGACAAACGGCAGTTCTGAAGTCCAGACTTGTCGAGAATTTTCTTTGTTTAAAAATCTTCTGTTTATATAGTGAGAGCCCAGCAGGAGGGACTTAGATCCTAGAAGTTTGCTATATTCTACAGGTAGAGAGGTTGGAAGCTATAACTTAAAGTTTCCACCAAATAAAATGGAGAATAAGACAAAGGTCATATGAGAGCATTGTCGCTCTTCTATCTTGGACTAAGGTACCTAGGAAGGTTGGGGGACTTTTATAGCAGAAGGTTTGCTTTTTGTTTTCCTGAGTGTAACTTCAAAAGACTGCATAGCTCTTCTTAAGAGAAGCCTGAGTTAACTAGGTAAGTATACTGTCTTGTCAAACATAGCTCTCTAGAGGGACAGTAAAAATGGTTGAGAGAGGTGCCTGGGTGAGTAAAACTTATCCCGTGTGCTGTGATTCTTCAGCAAGATCTTCAGGTGGTGTGAAGGGCATGAGAAGTTACCAGCTGTCTAGTCTCTGAATTGAACTTGCCAATTAAATTCAGATCTCTGGCTTAAAACAGTCATTTTGCAATTAACCAAATCACCTTTGCATTCTTTTCCCATTCCCCATCTTCTCACTTCCTTTAAGGGATAGTCCATGAGAGGATGGGAAAAGTTGCTTATAGAGTTCTATGTTGTTCTCTGGTCATCTCTGCAAACACTTAACAAAAATGTTTGTATCTGAGGTCCATGATCTTGGCTTGACTGCTGTTCACCTGCTGGTCCTTACTTGCTAAAGTGGCCCTTACCTTGGATATTCTTGGAGCCAGTGGTCCTTGAAACCTGGCTGAAATTCTGTTTAGATCATTAGCTTCAATGGTCCTTTCAGCTGTCCTCTTTGCCATGATTACCTTTCCTAGTGACTCCTGCCCCCATCCATGGCTTGTCGGCTAGCACTCTCAGCTTTCCCTTATCCCACCCCCCACTGGCTGTAGCAAGAAGTAGGCTGCAGGAAACAACATGAAGTAATTGCAAAGGGAAAACAAAAAAAACAGAAGAACTATTGTAACAAGCAGAGGGTGGAGTCGGGGGAATAATTATTTCTGTGTCTGTTTTGGCAAGACCCCAAGACAAAATCTCTTAGCCTACACTCCAAAGAAAGATGCAGGATCCTAAAGCAGGGTAACATGGTAAAGCACAGGACTGTGTGATTCTTGCCTGATAGCCCCCCACCAGCCTATAAAAGACGTTGGAGAAGAAGAAGGAGGGAAAGACATTTTAGTGGAGGGCTTTTGAAGAGTGCTGTCAGTATACTGAGTACACTGTAAATGCTCTCCCCTCCGAGGGCTAGGGGACAAGATGCTTTTCTGTCTAAGCCTCAGGAGTGAGGTTTCAGTGGGACCGATCACTCGAAGAGGTTTACCTGTGTCTCCTGGAACTTGGGGGTATGGTGGCCTGGTGTCTGACACCGTGAGAAATCTGAAGGATGAGAGACTGTTTGGCTCGTGTTCAGGCCTCAGAGTGAAGAGATGGGACTGCATGGGGTGGCCTGTTCTTTTAAACATTGTCAGGGTAAAGCATACATGACCACTTCCTGTGGACCAGAAGTGGGTCAGAAGTTTCCAACTGCCCACCTCAAGGAAACTGCAAGAGAAAGACCCTTCTCAATGGAATGGACATGGGTGACAAAAATGCCATGAAAACACAACACGAGGACAAGAATTAGCATTAAACATCAACAAAGTTCAGAGAGGATGGAAAGTAGATATCACATCAGGAACATTTTCCTTTCCTGAGAGGGAAAACGTTCCTCTCCTTGCTTTAACTTTGGAGAAACCAGAGGCAGGACAGTGACTGAGAAAAGTAGAAGTTCCAAGCAGAGAAATGAAGAGGAAATTCATCACCCCATTCCCCATTGCAGGTGACTGACCTGAACCTGGCCTAAGCTAGGGGCAGGAAAAAGCTTTAAACGAGGTAAAAAGCTTTGATAATTTTACTTGACTGAGCATGTTACGGAATTGAGAGGGTTTGGATGAACTAGTGGTAATAGGTAAATTTTTATTTCTTACCTTGACCAAAAGAGGCATATACCCAGCCAGGGCAGTAAGAGTACTACCTCTTCAGATCAATTTGGAAGAGACAGGGGAATAAAAATCACATTTATTTTCAGATGTATCATTTAGTCCTGATTGTTAAATATAATGGCTACTACACTCCTTTTAAATACCTCAGTAGACTTGTGTAAATTCTAATCCTGCCACAGTTGCTTACCTATTTAACTATGCATTTCTTTTCTCTTCCACCCCCTCCACCAAAGTTTCGTAGTGGTCTTAGCTGAAGTGATCTTTCAAGCCGTCCTCTTGGCTCTAACCAATGCTGGTTGAATCTGTTTATCTCTGAGTCCCATTTTCCTTATGTGCTGCAGAACATGATTGAGCCAGGTGATAGCTCAGGTATTTTCTAGCTCTCTTGTGTGATCCTACATGTTTCGAATTTCAAATTTGTTTCACCTTCTTCCTCTCCACAGCTTTTCACAGTTTTATGGGGCTGTGGCCAAGGAGATAAGCAAATGTGAGAAAGTCTTTCCAGTAGTGTAAGTTACTTGCTTTATACTCAGTTCCTCAGAGAGAGCTGTTCAACAGGCTTTCACTTAATCTTGGAACAGAAAGAACCATCTACATTGCGATGCAAATTAAACTGTAGAGATAGTGCAGTTCTTTGTAATTTCTAAGAGTGAAGAAGCTGAGCTTTGAAACAGGATATTTTTTTAAAAAAACTAAATGATTCTGTTTTAAAATACTTATTGATCATCTTCCTTCATCATTTAATTTCCCAGGTTCTATTCTACACAGTGCCTGGCATAGGTCCTCAATGTATATTTATCAAGTGAGTGAGTAGTATACTATAATATTGTGAAAATAACCTATTACATATCCAGGAGGTTAAACTTGGAGGTTCGCTGGAACATCACATTATCTATTAGCTACAAAAGGAGTATAGACTACATATTCAGAAGAGCTGATCTAAATGTGTCTTCACTACTAATTAATGGTGGATGCATTTTGGTCAGGTCGTATAATGTATTGAGTACTTTCTACATACCAGATAATCTTTTAAGTGTTTTATGTCCATTATCTCATTTATTTCTCACAAAAGTCTTATAAGGTCATCTCCACTTTGGTAACAAGAAAATTGAGCCAGAGAGAGGTTAAGAGACTCACTTAAGGTTATATGGAATTAAGATTTTAATGGGGTTCAAGAGCCTGCTTTTGATCACTATAATTCCTTCCTTGAAATATGTCAAGGTTTTCTGACTTGCAATATACTGCAATATACTTGCAATATCTGGGAACTCTATGTAAGTTTCCCCACACCTTTAGTACTATCATACTATTCTTCCAGCTCTCTAGTCGGTATTTATTATCAACTATTATTGGCCATGTACAGTCAGGAGCTGGGTTTGGGTGCCTATCCTCGTGGCACCTTCAGTTTGATGAGTGAGATGCATAATTAATAAAAATAGCAGTAAAATATCATGAGGAAATATAGGATCCATAAGAAGCATATTCAACGCAGAGAAAGAGACCATGAGAGGCTACTGAGGGAAGTGGCACCTCGTTCTTAGCACATTGCTCATATCTAGAATGAGGCCACTACAAAGCCAGAGAAATAAAATTGTCTGTGTCCCCAGCTTCTGCAAAGTGCCAGAAACCCAATAAATGCTTGTTTAATTACTGGTGTTAGACTACATGAATTAAAAAAATTAGAGGTACCATGGATGCTACTTGGTTCCCCAAACCTAGGCTGATTATCTTTTTCTAAAGAGCAGGTTATCTTCAGACGATGAGAAAAAGAGTTAAATTTTCCAAATTGTCCCTTAATTCTGATCAGTTCTAAAGCACCCTAGCTCATTCTTCTTACCCCAGTGACCTGAACAAGATTTGACAGTTCTAGGCTATAAAATCTTACACTGGACTTGGGCTCACAGAACTGAATTAATAAAACACATTGTTTGTCTTTTTATTAAATCAAATTATGAAGGTACACTTTGATCATTTGCAAATGTCATTCCTAATTAGCTTAAGGATCCTGATATAGACAAACCATATTCAAAGTCAATATGTTAGGTGAGTTTTTTGTATACATTAAGGGCTAATGTCAGTATTTTGACTATGAGGCTCATGTGAACTTTTGAAAAGAGAGTTAAGAAAAACAATAATGTTTTCAGTAGTGGCTTTGGGTATTTTAAGCTAAAGCTGATTAATACTTCAATGTTAAATTCATTTATAAGAAATTTATGACAAAACCCACAGTATTTTAAGTAATTTAGTCTCATTCCAAAACGCACCTTGCCAAGGCAAAAGCATCATCAATAAGACTTGCACGGTCAGCTGAAGAAAAATTCTGGGAAGAGGGAGAAAGAGAGATAAAAAACACAACTCTTAAGGCAAAGCATGATGAAAAAAATTAATATCAATAAGGTGCTCTTCTTAGAACAAAAATAAAACAATTTCCAAACATTGCCATCTCTTACCTTGTGGTTCAAGGAGAGCTCTGCAGCTATAGAGTCCCAAGTTGCTACTTCATAATTTACACGATAAAACCCAATATGATCTGGGTTTATTTTGAGAAAAGCATTTCCACTAGGATTAGAAGAGTTCAAAGTGATTCCTGTGGTAGTAAATAAACACTAATGAGCAACATGTTTGCATGTACTGTAAACACAGAGAAATTAGACCCAGAGGGCAAAAAGAAAATAAAAGAAAGGAAAAGAAAAGAAATGTTAGCTCAAGGAGGCAGGTTTGATTTGGATCCAAAGCCCAAAGCCTAATTTTTACTTAGTTGACTAACTTTAGAGTGTCACTATAATAAATGAGGTAAAAAAGAATAAGTAACACAAATAATTATACTGTAATTTATGATGGATAGTTTTTACTGGCAGAAGCTTCCCAAATGGGTGAAATAATTTTGTGCTGGTCAATCCATCAATAAAAGAAAACAATGCCTGAAGACAGAGAAGTCTGTGCCTTCAGGGTAGTCCATAGATCCCTCATCATAATGGATGTATTACACAAAGAGTATTCACTGGGGCAGCCCTGGGAGGGAATAAAGATGTAAACACTCAAAATAATACTTTGTTTATTAAAATCGACATTGAAGTTGATGGAAATGGCTACTGCTAAGCAGAATAATAAATTGATAATCAGCAACACTTTAAAAATGTTACTGCATCAAGAAGACCTGCAATAGAATTGAGATCCAAATGAAACATTCTTTATTTTGTAACCCACTTCATACTTGTTCTTCCATTTTTATTTATATTTGTAAAGTCTTCTACTTCCTATTTCAGTAGGTTACAACAATACTTTTCCATCAATGAATTTATCAAATCAGCATTCTTTCTAAAGCAGTATCCATATATATGCCAGGCTCTGTTGTATAGAATTTAGAAGCCTAATATTGAAGAAGCAGAGACTTATGGTTTAGGTATATGTACTTGAAATAATAGCTATGCTTTGATATAACCATGTTTGCTAGCATTGCTCCTATACTTCTCAGCTCATACACTCTTTTGTTTACATGGACGATATGCAATTTAAATAATGGTATAGAAACACAGTATAGTTGAGAAATTTCAAATATTTCAGTGTACCAACAATGTAGGTTGTGATACTAGAAAATAGAAAATGATGCTGGAAATAAAAGCCAGGGCTCCAGTATGAAGAGTCATATGCCATGTTAAGAATACATCTTCTGAGAGAAGAAAAGAGTTTTAAGCAGAAAAATAACATGCTCAAGTCTATTTCCTGGAAAATGATTTCAATAGTGGTATAGGAGATATTTTGGAGGTGATTCTAGAGATAAGACTAATTTAGTGCCCACTGTAGTCATGTAGGGCAATAGAAGACAAGGGCTTACACTACTGTGGAGATGATGAAACTAGAAAGAAGTTGATGTATTCAAGAGACATATCACAGACAAAATCAACGAAACCCTTTTTTTAACTTGATGTGGGCAGTCAGAGGAGGAGAAAATGGATTGCATGACTGGATGAATAATGGTGTTGCCAGTAAAGAATAGAGAAAGGTGAGTCAGTTTGGGAGGAAATATGATTTACATTTTGGAAGTGTTTGCAAGGTCTGGAAGATATCCAGGACACAGTTGTTTTTCCCAGTATGTGAGTAAGCCCTTCAACAAGACAGTAAGTTACTTTAGGAACCTTCAGAGTAGATATTGACAAATTATAAGCCCTTACCTCACTCACGTAAAATTTCTCTTTCTTTGTCATCTTCCCATGGACAAGTTGTTGAAAGGAAGCTAATCTTTTGGCATCTGCACACTTTGAATGTTTGTATCAGGAGGAGAGTTGCTTGCTAAGCATAAAGCCATATGTTACAGAAGAAAGAGCATGAACTTTCGATTCTGAAAGATCTAGGATAAAATCCTTGCTCTGTGACTTACTAGCTGTGTGACCTTGGCTAGATCACTTGACCCCTCTATGTCCCAGTTCACCACAAGGAAGACAGAAACAAAAATCCCTCACAGGGCTGTTGTGAAGATTAAATAAGATAACATAGGTAAAGTGTTGGCCACATAGTTATGTATTACGTACCCAACAGATGGTAGCTATCCCCATTATAATGAAAGGGAATATGCTGCCAGTACTATAAATAGTGAAGCAAATATAAATAACGTTAAGAAGTTCCTGGCAATCCATCTAAATACTGCCATATTTTAGTGTGCTTTGTATGTACCTAGTTAAGCCTGTCTAGAGTTACTGTGATTTTTCTCACTTTATAGATGAGGAAGCTGAGATCCAGGAAGTCAGTAGTTAAGGACTTTCCAAGTTCATGCTACTTTCAGAACAGTCGTCAACAGCAAAATACTGTTCGGTTCTTAGTTACATAACGAAGTGAGTAGAACTAAAATACTTTAGTAAGATTAAAATACAGGACAAACACACTGTTAGTGGTTTTTTTTTTTCTTTTGTTACTCCATTTACTGTTAATTTTTTTCAGATTATAACAATGGCATGTATTCTTTATGGAGCATTTGGAAAATACAGAAAAGTGTAAAGAAGAATATAAAAATTACCCACCATAGTTAACATGTTTTTACATGCTGTGTGTGTTGGGAGGTGTGTGTGTTTGTCGTCTATATTCACACATGTACGAACATACAACAAACATAATGGGGCCCTACTCTTTTTATGATTAGTAATCCTTTTTCATTTGAAATTACATTTTAAACACCTTGCAATTTCATTTTATATATTTGGAATGTAAGTTTAATGGACATATGCTGTATCAACTTAAAAATTGTTTTATTCTGTTTCTTATTAGCTCTATGCCAAAAAGTATTGAATGAGTTATTTCTCGGTAGGAGCTTTTTCTAGAAAATTCTCACTTTTTTCTTGTATTATTTGCCTAGACCTTTTCAAAATTTCATATGGAGCCTCTTTAATTTCAACCCTGATAGATTTCAACAACAGAGCACAGGTAACAGTTCTTTAATGTTACTAATATAAATAATTATAACAAATTTTAGACAAGTAGACAGCTTAGGATAGCCTGAGATTCCTAGAGAAAAAAACATTTTTCTTTGGTAATATAGATGTTGTGTTGCACTAATCCTTTAATTGAATTACTTTGTAATGTAAAATGACAGAGTTTACATCTTATTAAATTTTATGTATCACTTAATAGTAAAACAGCTGAGGCTGGGCACAGTAGCTCACACCTGTAATCCAAGCACTTCAGGAGGCTAAGATGGGAAGATTGCTTGAGACCAGTTTGAGACCAATCTGGTCAACATAGTGAGGCCCCCATGTCTAGTTAGTTAAGAAAATAAAAACACAGCTGAAAGATACAAGAGTAGTACTTTTTAACTAATGACATACAAAGTATACTTGAAGAGCTCAAAATTTCAAGTAGAATGCATTATTAGACTTTAGTGTCATAGAAGAAAATTTCAATTTCTGAAACTGAAGCTAACATGATCCATTATAAAATGGATTGGTTATCCATTTGTGGTAATGCTTTCAACAAATTACTTATTCAAGAAAGTATTAGTGATTGTTTTAGTAATAATTACAGGGTCTATTCTAAATCTCAGCAAGTGGCCTAGTAAATTTTCCTGTAAAGAAAGGTATACAAGCATACCTTATTTCATTGCACTGGAGAGAATTCACTTTATTGTGCTTTGCAGGTACTGCACTTTTTTTACTAATTGAAGGTTTGTAGCAAAGCCAATCAATCAGTGCTATTTTTCCAACATCGTGTGCTCACTTCATGTCTCTAGTTTACAGTTCAGTAATTTTTGCAATATTTCAAGCTTTTTCATTATTATTATATCTGTTACGGTGATCTGTGATCAGTGATTTTTGATGTTACTATTGTAATTGTTTTGGGGAGCCATGAACCACACCCATGTAAGGGGAGAACTTAATTGGTAAGTGTTGTGTGTGTTCTAACCGCTCCACCAGCTGGCCATTCCTCTCTCTCTCTCTATCTCTCTCTCTCTCTCTCTCTCTCTCTCTCTCTCCCCTTCTCTCTCCCTCTCTCTTTTTCTCTCTCTTTCTCCCCCCCACCCTTGGGCCTCCCTATTCTTTTAGACACAATTTAATATTAGGCCAATCAATAACCCTACAATGGCCCTAAGTGTTCAGATGAAAATAACAGTTGAACCTCTCTCACTTTAGAATTGATTAAGCTTAGTGAGAAAAGGGTAACAAAAGTTGAAACAGGCTGAAAGCCAGGCCTCTTGCACTACACAGTTAGCCAAGTTCTAAACATAAAGAAAAAGTCCTTGAAGGAAATTAAGTGGTACTCCAGTGAACACACAAATGATAAGAAAGAGGACGTTCTAGCTGTCCAGAGAGATGATCAAACTAACCAAAACATTTCCTTAATATAAAGCGTAATCCAGAGAAAGGCCCTAAATCTTCAACTCTTTGAAGGCTGAGAGAAGTAAGGAAGCTACAGAAGAAAACTTGGAAGCTAGCAAACGTTGGTTCTTGAGGTTTAAGGAAAGAAGCCATCTCTAAATATAAAAGTTCAAAGTGAAGCAGAAAGTACTGAAATAGAATAGAAGTTGCAGCAAGTTAATAAGAAGATCTTTAAGATCATTTACGAAGGCAGCTACACTAAAAGCATTTTCAGTGTAGATGAAACAGCTTTATAGTAGAAGAAAATGCCATCAAGGACTTTCACAGCTAGAGAGAAGTCAATGTCTGGCTTTAAGCTTCAAAGGACGGGTTGTTAGGTGTGGATGCAGCTGGCAACTTTAAGTGAAAGCCAGTGCTCATTTACCATTCTAAAAATCCTAAGACCCTTAAGAATTATGCTAAGTCTACTCTTCCTGTGCTCTATAAATGGAATAACAAAGCCTGGATGACAGCACATCTGTTTATAGCATGGTTTACTGAATATTTTATGCCCATTGTTGAGACCTATTGCTCATTAAAAAAAAGATTCCTTTCAAAATAGTACTGCTTATTGACAATGTGCCTGGTCATTTAAGAGGTCTTATGGAAATGTACAAGGAGATTAATGTTTTCACAGCATCTAACACAATATCTATTCTGAAGCCTATGGATCCAGGAGTGACTTTGACTTTCAAAGACTCATTGTTTAAGAAATACATTTTGTAAGGCAATAACTGCCATAGAT